TATGTTGCATCTATGCATGTATGCTGCTCATGTCTTTGCTGTGTGTCCTTTCCTTGCTTCTGTGACTTCATAATGAAACTACTCAAAGATAATTCATTGCAAAGATAATTCATTGCTTAATTAGCTAATGCAGCAATATAAACTAGTGGACATACAGGCTGGACACACCAGTGGACAATAAACCAAAAGCTATTCTACAATTTCACCATGTGAGCTGACATTTATACTTAGGTTTTGTTGCTTTACTTCAAGTTAGAATGAGGGTGTAATTTAAGTCTACACAATCTGTTATTTACCGATATAATACTTCTAGGCTGAGCATGTGTTTTATTTTTAGAATTTGTGCTGGATGAAAAGACTTGCAAACTGTATCTCTCTCTAAAATCAGTGCAGAGGCCTAATACTTAAAATTATTTAAAAGTGACTTGATGTTGTCTGGAAGAGTTGCATGCATTTATTTACCAAAATAAAGTGTGAGACTAATTCTGTGATTTTTATTATTGGCAATAACTGACAATGGTGATTGATCTTTAAGTAATGCTTTTTTAAATATTAGTAGTTTACCTTTTCATTTTTAAAATGGACTGTGGATTAAGTAGTAATAACAAGTAAATATTTGTATATGGTGAAGACATTTCCATATTGTTATATGATCATTTCTTAGCAAATATCTAGAGTTATTTCATCTATTGCATGCCCAGTCAGTGTTCCATTGTAGTGCCATTTGGTTTGCTATATTATAATAGCATTTCAACTTCACAACCAAGTATAATAGAGACAAACATAGCCATAAGTAACTTTTGAGCTCTCAGATCAAAAATGTGGCTTAAATTCAAAGCATTCTTATTTATTTGCATGAACTTACTGGGTTGCTATTTATTATTATGAGTTTCTGTTGTTTAAAATGAAGGGTGAAGATGACTGGACTCCCCTGATGGTAACAACAAAAATCAGTCTCTATAATTACAAGTTTATGCAACCTGGGTCTTATAATTGTTCATCTAACAACTTTTGGGGGAGTATTTGACTTTTAAGAATAATGACTCTGGTCAATTTAACACTTCTGATAAACCTTGATACAAATATTTTGATAAACGAGTTCACCTTAAAATGTTGTGTCGTCTGCTGTTTATAACATTCTTTAGGTAATGAAAGCTCTTTTAGGGTTCACTTTTCCTAGGTGAATGATTTTGATTCACTTTATTATCTTTTAACTAAGTGTTTTGAAAAGAAATCAGTGATGGGGGTCCTTTAAAGGTTCAAAAGTTGAATGTAACCCTCTGCCAAAAATTTGTGTGTTTTTGTTTGAAAAGAGACTTCATTTTATAGATTCCTAATTTTCTGCTTAGTGTTTGAGTTGTCTGCTTATGTTTGAGTTAAGGTATTAGAGAACAAATGTAAATATGAAATCTGTGACTCAAAAGCTTAATGTATTTATACAGATTTTTTTCTAGTCAGATTTTACTGTAGCACTGTAATATATCCTCTATTTTCCTCTTAAATATTAAGACTACTGTATAGAAAAGTTGTTGTAAGGAACTTTGTTTACCTCATCACAGAGTCTGAAAATGTGAACGTTTTTATTACATAAACTTTGAAGCTTTTAATTTCTTTAGAATCTCAGAAAGTAATAGGAGGACATGTATCTGGGGTTTGCAGAATTTTTGACAGGATAATAAAGGAGAACAAGTACCTGAAGTGTAGAAAGAAATTTTTCTAATGTGTCTTCTAGGTGAAACAAGATGGATATGATGAACAGTAGCAATGATAAAATTGTGGTATGTAAAAAGTCACCAGGAAAAATAAACTGTATTAATTTCAGTATGTGAATCTAAGCATACATTACCACACACGTATTTGTGTTAGAATACCATACATTATAGTTGGACAGAAAAGTTAAGTTTTGAGCTGCTTTATTTGCAGATAAATATTTTAAAGAAACACAGATGATTACTCATAGCTTCTTTGAATAAATAGGAGAACAAAGAATTTTTTTCAATAAACTCCTTTTCCCAGAAGCTGGTAAAAAAAAAAGCTCCCATTTACGTATCAGTCTAGCTAAATGGATTTTCTTTAGACATCATGTTGAAAGTACCATTTGATTGAGCCTAAATAGGACAGTTTGGAGCTTCAAGGAAAATTTCTTCCATAAAATACACAGAGGAAGGTGTAGAATGGATGCTCAGCCCAGCCTTCACCACAGGGTTGCTACCATGTTGTTAGAAAAATTGCATTTTGGCTGAACTAACTAATTTAGGAAAGCTGCAGTGCATCTCGCAGCACTGAAAACTTCCCAGGATTGGGTTGAGGGTGTTGAGGTTTTCTTATTTATTGTTAATGTAATTTAAAACAATACCTCTCTAGCTGCCAACAAACTCTTTCCCTGAATCTCCTTGCTCCTGGCTTCCCTCCTACCCATGTCCTGGCTCATCTCCAGAGCTGCCAAGTTTATGCCAGAAGCAGGAGGTAGATTTGTATGGGGCTGGAGGAAGATCTGGAGCTCTGTTAAATTTTCGAGCCCAGATGGGGCACCATGATTTGTGTGTTAATGTCAGGGTGCCATACATCACAACTTACCCGCGTGCTGACGTCAGCATCCCTCGCACATTAATGTGCTGAACGGTGCAAACTAGAAAATACAAGGTAGATATAGATCTGAGGCAGCAATGCCACCTAAGCAAACATCTCTGTGTTGTGGCAAGTCATTGTGCAAAATATTTCCCAAGCTACCCCGCATAAAGCCAGGAGAATATTTTGACTTAGCGGAAAAGCAGCAGCAAAATCAACATAGGCAAACGGGCTGCATGGCAGAAAACAGCTGAAACTAGTCCTGGGCTAGGTATTGGTAGACAAATATTGAACTGCTGTCTCAGCAGCGCTGCACTTAATGGCATTCCTCAATTTTTTCAGAATTAAGACTAAATAGAAAACATTCTGTTCTTAGGAGTTAAAGGACTTAGAGATGAATATAGGTTGATGGTTGGGCATTTTGCTATCCACAGCTTTTGTAGCCTGTTGTTTATCAGTGCTAGCAAGCCAGAAACATTAATAGCAAACAGTTTTTTCAAATGGTGTAGTAGTTTTTCTGTGCTAAGAGTTTAAATTAACTTGCAGAAATCGTCAGAGTTTATCTGTGTAACAGTTTTGTGTTGCTTGCCTGTGAGAAGGAACATGTAGCAACCTGCTGAAGGACTGGCAAAATAAGGTAACTTCCCATTTATGTGATTGCCCCTGCAGGGTAATGCGGCCGAGATGCTCCATTAAAATGCAGTATTCTGGCTCTCTCCTCCTTGAAGAGGAAATGATTTGCAAGCCTGCTTTAATATTTCAGTGGAGGATGTAATTAGACACACAGTTTCCGAGATTGGTGTCTGATGTGTAGGCAGAGTTTTGTTAGACCTCGGGAAGGAAATTCTGCAGCATAACTTTATTTTGTCACAAATGATGAAGTTGGCTTTATAGGTGAGATGGAAGTTCTCTGATTCCATGGGGATGCACTGTTTTGGCCTCGGCACAAATAGGGCCTTTGAAAAGAGATCAGTTCCCAGGACTTATTGCCATCTGCTCCATGAGGTGGGGAAGGGAGGGAGCATAAGGGTACCAGGCAATGCGTTTAGACTTTCCAGCATGAGCACATTGGTCACAGGTTACTTTATGTAATGGTCTAAGAAGAGTTCAGATCCTTCACTGATAAGAATAGGAAATGTCCAACTTAGCTGTCTGCCTTTGGAGGCTGCTTGGTGGCTTGGAGAAGAGGCTGAGTTGTTCAGACGCGGAAATGTGAAAGCAGCTGGTCTCTTGTTTCCCATTTTAATAAATCCATGTGCCAGTGTAATGCGTAGACTTTTATTACTGTATCTTGGGTTATCCTCCTTATCTCTGGTCCTAATTAATATATAAAGTGTTATTTATAAAGTAGCTTACTGATATTCTTTGTATATATTTAAATGGACCTTTCATACAAAATGTTGGTCACTGTTTGTAGAAGTACAGAATATACAAAAGACTTTAAAAATTTTAAAAAATAAAAATTATAATTTAGAGCTGCAGAGCTAATTCTTCCTATTTGCGATGGGTTTTTTTAAGTGGCTGATTTTGGTATGCCAGGAAGTTTAGCAGATATAATGTCTACAGCCATCAAGAACAGGAGCGTACAAGCTGCACGGGCAGCTTTAATAGGAGGACTTCATGTTTAAAGGAGGTTTTTGCTTTTAATGCATTTGTCTCTTTTCTTGTTACTTAGTTACAACATCAAAGTATTTAAGATCATTTTATGCCTGGTTACCGATGAGGATCGCCGCTGTGGTCTTTTAATATTGCTTTTTGTAATATAAAATCAAGTTTAAAATTGTGCAGAAAATAGCTGCTATAAGGCATGTGACAATGCCTTGTTGGACAGGAGGTGAATTCACTTATAAATTACAAATATATTGACACAGGATGGTTCTGCTTGAAGCTTCAGATTCGTGTGTTATGTAATGAGGTACTTTTAGAAAGAAAATTTCTGGAAAAAATACTTTGCTTTTACTTTGTAATTGCTCATCATTAGAAAAGACCGAATATGAGCAAATATGTTAGCTCTCAAAATACAAGACACAATGTCCCTAAGTGTATTAAAGAAGAAGGTTTTCAGAGCACACAAAAAGCCAGGCATCTGATTCATGACAGAAGTCAATGAAGAAAGCGTAACTACCGCCCGTGCTTCTCATGACCTCCAGAGTGAGCAAACATGTGCATTAGAGCTGGGGGAAAGAGAGAAAAGTAGTTCTGAATTGGCTTTTTCTTGGCATCTTCGTATCAAGTGTATGTTTTTAGAATCACGTTTCAGGGTTTTTCTTTGGTTTGGTTTTGCTTTTGGAAAACCCTCAGAGATGATTTCTAGGTATTGATGACCTATTTTTTGTCTTCAGTTTGTCACTGAGAACACCAAGGCTTACTCCACGAACATTAATTACCTTTTTCATCACATAGGATGTGTATTTTGTTTCCATGTCTTACAGAATAAAGCAATTATGGAACGTGTAACAAACTTGTCAGATGTGGTAGTCGGTCTTGAATCATTTATTGGCTCCGAGAGAGAAACCAATCCATTATACAAGGATTACCATGGTAAGTCCCATCTTTAGCAAGGCAAAAATTCTGCCCTGAGCATTTCTGGGGCACTTAGCAGCTTTCCCTCCAATTGGAGTATCCGCTATAAAGCAACCATTGATTTTATTTGCGAATTTACCTCTTAAATGTTTCTCCCCTTCCCAACCAGTCTTGAGGTAGGGAAAATTTCAGCCCAGCGCATTAGGGCTGCAAAGGCAACATGGCAACCCCTTGCATGTTGTCAAGCCGGATTACGGAGGCCGGGCTCAATCAGACGTGCATCTCAACAGGCAGGCTCTGGGGAACTCGCAGGCAGGCGCGGCTTGGCAGTCCTCTGACCAGCGAGCTGCACTTGTCCTGAAATCAATACTCCGGAGCTGCCAAGTCGTAAATAGAGAACACGGACAAACATACATTATATAGAGGCGAATAAACTGCCAAAGGATGAAATATGGAAACTTTCCCTAAAAAGAGCGTGCTGTTCTGTGGCTTTATGTAACAGCAGTTTGGCGTTTGAGGAGATAAATGCAGCTATGTACAGCATTTAAAATATGAAATTAATAGTGATGTAAAGATACATAATTTTTTGCAAGCTTTCCGGTGATTTATCTTCAAAACGGGCACAGATGTTTAACCTCGTGGCTAATTTCCCAAAGATTTTGTGAGCTGCTGCAGCAGAACTATTTAAATCTTAAAAGATGAGATTGGAAGTTATGCGCAGCCCAAGCAGTGAATAACAAACAGGTTTAGCTAATCCAGCGCAGTGCTCTGAGTGTGCATAAATTACAGCTATTATTATTGTGATACTACTGTAGTTCCATGGAAACCTCGAGTGGAAAGTGAACTGCTTACCCGAAAGCTGCTGTCAACGTGTGCGGATGTGGCAGCGTTTTCCATGGCAGAGCATGTAGAAAAAGGAGCAAAGACAGTGCTGAAACACCACTGCCTATGTGCAGCTGTAATTTAATAAATCGGCGAGAAATCTTGTTGGCCGAGCAAGTGAAGGATAGTTGATTGCATGGGAAAGGAGGCAGATTATAAAAAGAAGCTGTGAACAAAAGCTAGAATAATTTGCCTAATTATTTTTCCAATTGTATAAGTGAGATTGGTGTTTGTTTATGCTAACATAGTTCTGTCATTTTGATATACCTTTTCAAAGTGCTGAGCGGATCCTTTAGGACAATGTATGTATTTTAACAGATATTTCCTGTTTTCCTGTGAAACTGTATGCTCTGTGATTTTTCTGCTACTTACATGGCAATAAATAGCTTTAGAGGTATTTTAGGCAGGCTCTTTAACATTCTGAAAATAGGTGGTTATTTTTAATAATTATTTAACAAGGTGAATTCTTTTTACTTAAAATATATTTTGAAGATTCTTTACTGCAGCTGATAGAGGATATGGGCATTAGTGAGGAAAAGTTTGATTAAATTATTGCTTTCTTCAATTAATCATGCATTAGTAATTTTATTAAAATGTCTGCAAATTTACAAGGCTTACAAGTCAGTAAAATTTGAAAAAAGTAAGAATAATATAGACAATCTTTAAATAGAATTTATAGAATAATATTTTTGCATCCTTATACTATAACTGATTGCATATAATGGTTACATTTTGAAATTAAAAAAAAAGAGGTAAAAGGCTTAAGCATTAATGTGAGTAACAGTATTTTTCTAGTTATGTTGATTTTAATAATTAGTATTTGCATAAATTGTGCTTTTTAAAATATTCTGCTTTTCAAAAAATGTCTCCTCTTATTCTCCCTTTAAAAAATAAATAATTCCCTAAACAATACTTTGTCCTATTTTCAATAAGGGCTTTATTGTTTTTTCCCAGCTGCCATTTTCAGGTTAGACATCTTTTCTAAATGTTCCGTATTTCCATTTAGACCCTGTCTTCCTGCATAGCAAATATAGGCCAGTAATTGAGAAGCCCCGTAGAATTTTCCTGGTTTTCAGCTGTAGAAATTCCCCCTTAGGTTGTTCAGAAACTATATTAGGCTGCACAAAAACCATCCAGCGTCCTTGTCAGAAAAAATCAGCTTGAGTTTCAGCTGACAGAATGCAGAGCTTGCAGTGTAGCTAGTTGTGTTGCAAAAACCTGAGCGGCTATATAAAGCTCTTGCATGCAACAAATGTGCTGCTTTTAGGAAGAAAGGAAGGGGTAAAAACGTATCAAAAAGCAGCATCTAAATTGTTATTTTCCACTGGCTTTTTTAAAAGTTATTTTCGAGGCACAATGTAGCTCTCATTAGAGCTTCAGTGGTTATCAGTAACCCATAAGCCTTGTTTTGCTGGCTGCTTACTGGTGCATTTAATAAAATAAAGATCACTCAGTGGTGCCGTGGGCAGCATGCAAGGTGATAGCCATATTTGCTTACTGTAAATACAAGCGAAAATCACACACAAACCGGCTGTAGTTTTGACAAGTATTAAGATCCCTCTTTACATCTGTACTTCTGTACCAAAGTGCAATTAGTTTTCCTCGCACAAGGATTTCTGTTTATCTTATTCTGCTTGATTACTTGAGTATAATCGCACCGTTTGCTTCATTGCTTCTGGTAGTAAGCTCCAGTTTAAAAAGGGGAGGATGAGTGTGTGTAAATATACAGAATTCTGCTGTAAGACTCTTTAATTTATGCATCTGGATGACAGCGTTTTCCTATTTTTTTTTTCTCCTTTACTTTTTCTTTTCACAAGGTTTGATTCACGTTCGTCAGATTCCTCGCCTTAATTGCTTGATCTGTGATGTGTCAGACACGAAGGACCTTGCTTTTAGATTAAAAAGGAAGCAGTTCACCATTGAGGTAAGAGAAACAGTTTTGTTGCACTCTTTAGAACCCAAAAGGTGGAGCTAATCCCATCTCTTCGGTTTGGTTTTGTGAAATACATAAAATATGCATCAGATGATGTAAATTCATTGCATTGTGTTTCTGCTGGTCGGAACAGTTTTATAAAATATTTGACTGTGTCTCCTAATTAAAAATGTCTCATTTGCTGCACTAAATCGCTCTTTTATAAATAGTTTATTTTGTTTTAAAATGTACATAGAAAGTAGGCCACAACCTTCAATAACAAAGCGTGACATGTTTCTAAGGATGTCAGGAGCATATTTAATTAAATGTTAATGACTTGCTCTTACTTGTGTTAGTGGGTGGGAAAGTAGCTACATGTTATTACCCCGGTAGAGGGATTTTAATGTATAATGCTGCCTAAAATTGTGTGTGGTATGAGGGATAAGTGTCCTTATCAGTATTCAGAAACCATTTTCTTTGCATTACTGAAATCACCTTTCGCTCTTTTATGTCATTTTAAACACAGTATCATTTACACTAATGTCCTTAAGTAAATTTCCTACTAAATTTGAACTTTTTTCTGTGACCTTTATGCAGACAGTCTTGCTAGAAGGTGGTAATACAAAAGATGTATTTCATTTTAATCTTGCTAAGGAGCAAATGAGCATAGAACTATCAAGCAATTAGAGCTGATGTATTTATTAACCACGTAATGCTCGGAGATGGGAGATGGCTTTTTGGGCAACGTGATCGTTGTCGATACAGTCTGTGTGCAAAAAAAAAAAAAAAAAAAAAAATATTTAACAAAGACATAAAACAGCAAAGCATCCCTGACAAACCATTTTGTTTAATCTCTTTTTGAATGAAAAGCTCTTAAGCAGGCCACTTGTCTTAACTGCTTGAAACCATAAAAAGAGAGAATTGCCACCAATAAATTAGCATATTTTTTACTCAATCACCAAATGATGGTCAATGTGGCTTGGCACTGCTTTGGTGTTTGGGACTTCACCCTTAAGTGACCACTTTGGCCCTTTTTTGACCCGCTGCCCTTTTTAGCTGGCCACTTGAGAAGGTAACTTCAGGGTTCCCTCTCTCTCCCACCCCCCCTCTTTCACAATTGCAAGTAGCCCTAGCCTATAAATCATTGAAAGGGCCCTATCAAGTGACAAATTAAGGTGCCCTCCTCCTAATTAATGGTCATCAATGTCCTTAATTATCTAATCCTATTGAGAGTAGTTAATAGTTAATCACGCAGCCAGTTCTTCAAGCAGGTCATCTCCGCGTGAGTGCTAGAAGTTTCTCAACTAGAGCTACCCTCTTCAAAAGCCACTTAAAGGCAAATGCATGAAGGAGGGTTTTGTTTTGGTTTGGTTTTGGTTTTCCCTAAGAGACCCATTTATCATGGTTTGGGTTTTCCAGAGCCTGGGACTAATGAAACCAGGCTTTGTGAGGTGTTCAACTATTTAACCACTGGATTGGTTTTGAGCAGCACCTTGCAAGAAAAACCTTTACTTGTTCATGCTTGATTTTGAATACAAGCGTGCTTACTGTTTTCAGCAATGTGGAGAACCGTGCACCATAATTTCCCGGCCAAGTGAATTCACATTTGTCCTAGCTAAGTAGCATATTTAGACTTTTCCTCATTACGAATCGTGACACAGAGTATGGCTTTTCTGCCAGCACTATTTGAGGTCCTAATCTGTCAAGTAACTTAAAAGAAAGAAACTAAACTAAACAGGAGGCTCTCTATAAAGAATTCATTAGCCATGGGACAGAAGTGTTTGCAGTGGGGATGCACTAGAGTTCCTGAAACAACTTGCAGCTCCAGAGCTGCCTGGATGACCCACTTGAATCATTTCTTGCTTCAGCGTTCGGTTGGGACTGCTTTTAATTAATTGACACAAACTGCCCCTTCTGGATGCATCAGGGCACTGTCTACTGTGATTTTCCTGTACGCATTTCACTGATATATGTATATTTATTTTATATATATTTTTTCACTGAGATATATCTTTCAATGAATAAATATAGATAAATAGGTATTCATAAAAATATGTATATCTTAGTGAAAATCCCTATAAAATCCCTACTTTTACTTTGTGCTAGGAGGGACAGGCTACAGCTACAGTCTGCAGCAAACAGGTCCTTAAGAAAATGAGAGGAAGGAAAAATTGAATTAAGAAGGAATGCAAAATGCCCCTCTTAAAACTGGGTTCTGCAGTTAAGGGAGGAGGAGTCAACAGGCAGTTTCAGTTCTGGTGGCAAAAACCTAAAGCAGCACGAGAGCACAGGAGAAGGCTTTTTAGAAAGTGCACCTGCATTTAGGACTTGGAATAGGCTTCAATGGGAAATGAAAATAGATTTGAATACATTACAGTTTTGGAAAGGACCAACTTGGTTGGATGAAGTTTGGGGTAAGAACGTTGACCTCTGCCTGAAATGTCAAATTGCAATCAAATAACTAGAGAAAAGTGAGAAACCCTCAACCTGTGACTCGGGGTAAGATCTCCCCTAGAACTCACCCCGAGCGCCCTCTTTCTGGCATTACAGTTCCTAGTGTGGGCACTGGGGTGTCCCTGTGGCTGTGCCAGTCTCAGGGCTGCCCCCCTGTTCAGTAACTTGTAGTCTGGCCTCGCCGGTTAGAAACCTTAATGTCAAGTCTGGCTTCTGAGTCTTCACCTTTGTGGGAGGGATGCTACCTGTGGAGTTGTTTAGTTTGAATTGTTCTTGTGTGTTCTTCAACAAAGTTGGGTTGAAACCTATTTTAAACAGTTTTTTTTTTTTAATCTTAGGGCTGAGTATACTTTTTCTCTAAATATCTGAGTATTAACTTTCCGTTTCAAAACATGAGTTGAACTTTTAATATTTACGGTAAAAGCTGCAATAGCTAGATGAAGGGTTCCCAGGTCTTTGCTTGTTAGTTAATACCGAAATATTATATGTAATATTGCCAGGATAGACCTAACCTACGCGCATACCACTTTAAAGGACACAATTTGGAAGTTAGTCTGTCTAATCCTATTTCTTCCCACTTTGGAATCTTAATTAGAAGGAGATAAAAACCATCATTTGACTAAATTATTGTCTTGAATCTGTAGCAGAAGGTATAATCCGCAATTGGGCCAATTAGTGTACTCCATAGTTAGCTATGCTGAGGCAGGCAACTTGATTAGATCTGACACCAGCCTAGTTCCCACTGTTGTTTTGCCAGGTATGATGGTCAGACTTCAAAGGGCTTGAGGCATCAGCAGGGCAAGGTTTGGAGGCCAGCTTAGGTCCGGTCGCTAATCTCTCTGCTAAAACCACAGCAGCCCTCGCACAAAACAAGCTTACACGACACAATCATGCGGTATTAAAGTTTGGGTTGAGTCATGCCAATTTGCCTTTGATTTTCTGATGATTGACTAAAAGATGGCTACATGACTAGACACATACTGAAAGTTTACTGATTAGGTAAGTTCCCCAAATATTTGAAATATTTTTTGATTTCTCAGTTAAATGATATGACAAGCCATTCATCTTAACAAAACTTTAGAGCTGCATTGTAGTTCCAGTACTGTGCTCAGTTTACACCTCTGAGCGTAGCTTTTAGCAGCACTGGATAAATCTCCTGGTAATATTGTCCTTGTGGGTTTTCTGATAGAACTTCATTGCTCCAAAGCCTCCTGCATTGAAACTAAAGGAAACTGTCTAAACTGTGGGTATTTGGGGTTTTTTTTGTTTGTTCGGTTGTTTGGTTTTCCTACAGTCAGATAAGGTTCGAAAAAGCATCAATTTTCTTTATTCGAGAGCACTTGCAATTCCTCACAGAAAAGGAATTTCCTCTTAATTATTTTCCTCCTAACTGTTGGGCAAAGTGCTGCTCCGTGCCTGTGATTACATAAGTGTTCCTTTCTTTTGCCTTCTGATTTGTTGAAATATTGCAGTAACAGTGACATGTTTCCATTCTGAGAAGAGCCTAAGGCTGCTTTAGTATTATTCCAAATGATTGAAATTGCCATCTTGCTGACTTTCCCTTGGGCAGCTTAAGGCCTGTTTACTTTTGTATTTGTTTCACATGTTCCCTCTGAGTTTGGCTGGCAGGACATCATTACCTGGCTTGACAAGACACTTGGATAGGATTCATTTGTGATTAACTCCCTTTGTTACTGGCTGGTCAACATATATCTCTAGAATGGTGCATTTACAATTAAAACTTGCATCAGATAAATGTTTGCAAGTGCAAAAGCTGGTGGGGAGATACCTTTTAAAAATTCCTGGGCTTTGTTTTAATGCTGAATTTTGTAATCTTCTGGTAATAATCAGTTTTTAATAGTACAGGGAATAACCTCTTTGTTATAATTTGCATAATGCAGCTTGTCTAAAACCTATGGCTATTGTTAAATTTTTATTTTTCTTTATTTTGATAAACATGCATGTAAGAGCCAGCTGAGAGGATTTTCTGTAACGGGTTATATGAAACTTGTGTGAAATGAAAGAAAAAAATGCTTAGAACTAACCAAAAAAGATCGCTTAACTTGACTTCAAGTATCATAAATTAGGTAGAGAATTGTCACACAGTTTAAAAGAAAAAAAAAAAAACCCACCTTAATATTTGAATTCAGGAGATTCTTTCCTGAAGTTTCTTGCAGGTGTCGGTGGCAGCCAGGCTCCAAGTGGCAGGTGGGTCCAAGGGTGGCCTCGTGGAGCCCTCTGTCCTCAGTGCATTTTCCCCTCATGCGGTACCCAGTATTGCCAGAGCAAAAAGCCTTTGAAAGGAAACATCATCACAGATGAAAGTATTTGAGTCTCTATATAAATTATAAATTAAAATTCCAGTGATAAAGGCGTTAAAGTTATAGCCTTTATCTTTAAAGGCGTTATTAGAAAATTCCCCAAATGGGCAAGATTTGGTTGTAACTCTGAATAATGACTTGTGTTGTGTGTGCAGCAGTGGCACGTGGGAAAAAACACTTCATCTTTCCTTTATGATGGTGAGTTTAACAAGTCAGTGCAGGAGCTTACCTGCCATT